TCTGTATGGCTTTCCCCCCTCCACTTGGGTACTGGCGAGCCTCAAGTTATATTGCCTTTTTTTTTTTTTTAACACACACACTCACCCTTTCTATTCTGGTTAAACACACCCACCCACCCCTTCTGTTCTGGGAGTCACCAGTCCGGTTACTTATTACCGGCAAGCAGTGAAACGCAGAAGTTACTGGCGCCTTTGTGCATCTGTCGCTCTCTCCGCACCACTGCCCAATCCACTTGCACCTTTTCGGTTTCTCCTGTCCTCTTCTGTTTACGTTTGTTTGTTTGTTTGTTTGTTTGTTTGTTTGTTTGTTTGTTTGTTTTGCATTTCTGTTTCGTTTTAATACTCTCCTTTGTCTCAGTGGGAAGCGCGCACAATGTTACTGGTTGTTCCCGTCCTGTCTTGTTTTTTTTTCTTTTTTTTTTCCTTTTTTCTCCCGTTCCTTTTTGCGACGCCTTTGTCATTACCGTTAACGCTTTTGAAGTTTTGATAACATTATCAGAAAGAATGATATTGACAATAACAATGTCAAAGGGTACCAGAGTGGCTCAGGAATCCTAGGATCACTTGCACAGCCGGGCCAAAAAAAAAAGAAAAAAAGAAAAAGTTATTTTTAGTTCGGTAAAGAATTTCGAAGCAACCCTGAGGCAAAAGTTGTTCAGTTTATTTTTCTGCATAACATTTTTTTTTTTTTTTTTTTTTTTTTTTTTTTTTTTTTTTTTTTTTTGCAGGGACCTTCCTTGGTCCTTGGCCGGTTGTGCCGCCCCTGGCATCCAAGGTGACCCGGGGCCCCGGTCGGCAGCCCAGATATTATCAATAATATCATTGCCGAGAACACTTTTGATAACATTTTGAAAAAATGATGATATTGATAAACATTACCAGTAACATCATATTACCGATTGACACTTGAAGTTTTGATAACTTTTTTTTTATAAATAACATTGATATTCTGCTATCGTCCGCAGGTGCAGCGATATATGGAGGCTTATTCTAAGGAGGCCTTAGCGCCGTTTCCGGCAGCTGACCTGGAGCGATTGCGCAAGCTGCAGACCTCTGCCCAGCTCCGCACTGCTACTGTCGGTCTGAGTTCTGTGCCTTCCAGTCAACGATGTGGAGAGCGAGAGCCATGCCGTCTCGAGGGGAACGCTGGTGAGCGTGTGGAGGTGGCTGGCGTGAAGGCGGTGGAAAGTAGTGATGGCAATCGCATGGGACGGTCTCTGGAAGAAATGATCGAGGAAAGCGCAGCCACTGACTTGGAGAGAAGAGTGGAAGAGTTGAAGCAAACCTTGGGCAAATTTGACTACTACCTCTCTGCCGCTGCTGCACTTGCACGAGCGCGCTGGACCCAATTTGATATGGTGGCAATCGGATGCGGATTAATTGTGCTCTTTGTGACACTGGCGGCACACGTCACTGCGATCGTGCGTATAACGAGCGGGGTAGGTAGTCGTTGCATCAGAACTCGACTCCCGCGTCGTTCGATGGCTTTTGCCTTGCTCTCTGTCCTGATTGTGGGTGCTTTCAGGAGTAGCACCGCCGTGACGGTCACGGCAGTCTCGTCAGCATTGAATTTCATGCTGATGCGCACACGGAATGCGACTGGGACGAGAACGGCGGTATCGGACGACGAGAATGAAGACGGAGACTCCCGGGAAGGTGCGAAGCGAAGGAGGACCGAGGTCGGAGAACGCGGCGACGAAAGACAAAAGCGAGGGCTTGACGAACAACCACGACCGCGAGAGAGGCGTCTGCAGACGCGACGGCAGCTGAGTCCACTTTCGTGGGTAGATGTCCGGACTCGGATTACAACGTTCTTCATCGTCATCTATGCAGCAAGCCTGTCTTCAAACAGTTTCATACTGGAGGAGGGCCACATGATTCATTTTTTCTTGGCGTCAGCAGGTATTTTGTATCTTAGGAGGGCGGCGCCGATCTCCGCAAGGGCGGCTTTGGATGCCGTATTATTTATGATTGCAACAGCATTGAGTTCGTGGGTGGGTAGGCTAGGGGCATCAAAGAGCGGCGAAGGGTACGCTCAAGTCGAAGGCGGGACGGCGATGGCGAGTGTTGTGCACAGCAAAAGAGGTCTCCAGTCCATTCAGCTTGGGGCCACGTGTCTGTTAGTGTGGATGTTGTTTAAATGGCAGCAGGCGGACAAGCGAACGCTCCTTGTCCGACTCGCTGCTTTTGGTGGAATTGGCATGTACATCCTCGGGACGGCACATTGGTTGTTTGTTAGGAATGATGTCGAAACACCGGCGGATGAGCGGATGCAGGAGTTTGTACGTGTCGGACTGCCGCGGTCCGTGTACCTGATTGCCTTGTCTTTGTTGGCACTAGTTTTCTTTACCTTGGTCGTACGAAGGGTGGGTAGGAGAAAGGCGATGGGAAAAGCGAGGGGGATAGCAGAACAAGAAAGCGAGGACGAGAGATGTATTGTAGACATGGCGTTATCGCTCGTCGTCATCGGCAGTGGTCCGATCGCATTACTTCTCGGGCAAAAGGGACCCCCGATTCTCGTAACAGGTGCTCTGCAGGCGTACTACCTTCTGCGGCTTCAGAAAATCGCAGAAGACAACAGCAACGCTCATTGGTTGTCTGCAAAGGAGGACGAAACGGTTATGGGAAGTGAACGTGACACCGAACCTCTTCCGAAGCCTGGTTTGAAGGCGGTTTTGCCTCAGAAGGGTCGGGTGCATGGGTCTGCAGCTATTGAGTGGGGCCTGCTTGGGATCCATCTGTTCCATGCCTCTGGGCATCGATGCACGTTCGATGCTCTTAAGTTTTCCGCCGCGTTTATAGGGTACGATAATTTCCACTTTTTTCGATGTGGATCTTTCCTTGCCCTGGAGACGTTTGGAGCTTCTCATCTTCTGCCGACTCTTGCAATTCCAATTTTGGCACTGTGTCTCGGCACGACAATGAAGGGACCCCATTCGTCATCGGGGCAGCGATCATCGGCATCCGATCGCCGATCGTATCCGTACGATTTTTCGAGATTGGGCTTGATCTACCTTCTCGTTAGGGCGTTAGTTGCTGTCGTCACCACGACGGTGGTAACCATTCATCGGAGACATCTAATGACTTGGGGTTTATTCGCACCCAAGTTTGTTTTTGACGCTGTGAGTTTTTTGGTAGTGGATCTGTTTCTGATCGTAGTAGCGGCGTTAGCTTTGTGAGTGTGTGTCCTTTGGGACATCCGTAAAACAATTTGGAAACGATACAGAGAAAGAAGAAGATTAGCATGGGCCCTGCCAAAGGATGACGCGCATAAATCGAGAAATGATCCAAATTTCTTTTCACAATGAAGGAAGGAGGAGGAGGGGGGGGGGCGTGAAAGGGGAAGAAGAAAAAGCTTTGTGAGTGTATGGGGAATTTCCCCCGCTAGGTTGTAGCGCTGTAGCCTGGCTACCGCAGCTCTGCCCGGAAACCGGACTGCTCTGGACCGCGGATTCAAACCTGGTAGTCCGAAGATGTCTGAATGTCTGGACGAGAACCGGAGCAGAGGGTGTTTCTGTAATTTTTTTTTTCCTGCTTTTTTCGGTGTTGAATCTTTTGATTATTTGTCATATTTGAAGCTTTTTATGATTTGCAGGCCTCACTAACATGCAAAATCAGAATGAATCTCCCACGAGAATGTGGAACGATACGCTGTCATATTTTTTGTCTTTTGTGCATGCGGTGAGTAGTGGAGTGAGGCGCCTGTCTCTTATACACATCTAGATGTGTATAAGAGACAGGGGTACACAAAGAGTCTTCAAAATGGGGGGAGAGGGTGTCCTTGAATTGGGCACCTAAAGGGTTCTTGAATATACACATCTAGATGTGTATAAGAGACAGGGGGAGAATAGTGTCTTCAAATGGGGTACATAAAGGGTCTTCAAAATGGGGGGGAGGGTGTCCTTGAATTGGGTACATAAAGGGTTCTTGAAATCGAGGCAGTTGTCAAGTTGGGTACATAAAGAGGGGTTTGGGGGGGGAGGAGAGGGGGGGGGTTAAATTGGGTACACAAAGAGTCTTCAAAATGGGGGGAGAGGGTGTCCTTGAATTGGGCACCTAAAGGGTTCTTGAAATTGGGGGTATGGGCACGGTTGTCAAGTTTGTTGAGCTCATAAAGGGTGGGTCTCGTGACACTAGTCACTCTCATGAAGGAGGAGGTAGGGAATAATGTCTTGCAAGAAGAAAGAAAGATTTATTTTTTCTTGGACCTCTCTCTCTCTCTCTCTCTCTCTCTCTCTCTCTCTCTCTCTCTCTCTCTCTCNAAAAAAAAAAAAAAGACCCTCAGCAGCCAGGAGTTTGTTTGTATTGCAATCCTGCAGGAACTTTTTTCCCCCTAGGAAAAAAAAAAAAAAAGTTGAATATTTTTAACGAAATTAACGCTTTATTAGTTTCGTTTTTCGAAAATAAAATTTTGAATCTAATCCATGGCTATGCCTGATCCAAACACCGGAGCAATCCAGACATCTGGCTGGACCTAAGTTTGGATGGCTACACAGACTGTCCGGAACGCGGAACAGGACGCCTCACCCCCTCCCCCTCCCGACCCCGGAGAAAAAAGAAGTCCCCTTTTTTTTTTTTTTTTTTTTTTTTTCGGTGAAAATCCGCTTGCGAGGCCTCTATCCCAGTGCTGGTAAGAAAACCACCAGGATTGAGGCTTCGGCTGTAGGGTTGCTCCATCTATTTGGTGGGGAGCGGCACCTGCTGGAAACCGGGTCCAGCGTCCCTTGAATACATCAAATTGGATACCATGTCAGGGCTGTCCCCAACTGCTCTTGTACTGAAGAGCCCCCTCCAACCCCGTAGAGCGGCTAATTACCCTTCCTTCCTGGGGGGCTACGGTCTCCTAATCATCTGGCCCAGCCTGCACCTGGGAAGTTGCACCTGGTCTTCTTTCCTGCTCCTGGGGGGCTGTGGTCTCCTAATCACCTGGCCCACGCAGTAACCCCCCATTAACCCCCCCAGCGACTTCTTCCAGGTGCCCGCAGCCCCCCAGTGACTGGTGTCTGTTTCACTAAACCCTTCTTAAACCCTTCTTAAACCCTTCTTAGCCCCCTAGGACAGCTTGAGATGCTGGTAGGAGCAGTCCCTCCTCGAGTTGTCTCGGGGTGGCTCCATCCATTGGCGGGGAGAAGCACTTGCTGAGAGGCAGGCCCAGCGTCCCTTGGCACAATTATTCAATGTAATATTGACATAGTATTGTCATCAAAGTAATTCAGAGCATGCACGGAGAGCATTTGAGAACTGCGACCACAGGCTGGGACCGGTGTGCATATTGGATAAGCCAAGCACTATTGATTGTGCTTTCACTTTTGCCGACCGCTCTGAAACATTTCTGTAGTATAGTGTCTCTCTTCGCTCTTGTTTGGCACAGGTTCTGGGATGATGATCTTCAGCCAAAAGATTTTCATCTTGCAATGCTGCACAAGGTATCCTTTCTTTTTTTTCACCAGGGAGGTGGCATATCCGGACGCTCCGGACCGGACCGTGGACCCGGACATCCGGATTGTACCATCATTTAATCGTCGACAGGTCCAAACGTCCGCATGCTGGACGGCAGATCGTGGACCGTCTGGGCCTCGGTTCAGGGGGGTCGAATTGTAGTCATGCTTTGTAGAAATGTAGAAACTATCTGATCACAGTTGCGTGTGGGCCTCGCACCAGGGAATGGCTTGTCCTTGTTGGACGGGGGGAGGTGGCGTTTTGTGTTTTTTTTGGGCTGATGGCTGCGCCTTCAGCTTTCGTCCCTGGCCACAAATCCAAACATGTGTAACCGCAGGGCCGGTACTTACCTTCCGCCCCGTACCAATGGTGAGTGCGTTCGAAAAGCGGAGGGCCATCAGACATCCTACAGTCTAACCCCAACCACTTTGACAGCACATATTGTCATGGGCAAAGCCCTGCAAAATTTATCACCCCTCTATTTGCCGGACAGGTGGACCGAAGACAGGCCGGAAAGAGAGGGGTGCCTACGACGAGAGTCGTGGAGAGAGATGGTGAAGGACGGTATACTTGGCAGAAGGGCTGAGCGCTGATATTCTTTTTGTCAGCAACGTCGGGTGTTTTTTGCTGTGATATGTAAAGTCCACGACAGCTGGTTGGTTGTCTTTTTTTTTTTTTTTTTTTTTTTNCAGCTGGTTGGTTGTCTTTTTTTTTTTTTTTTTTTTTTTCTGAAACACCATGGTCGGGCGTGGGGGAGGACGTGCTGATAAGAGCAGACACCCCCTCTACGCCCGCTGTTTGCGAATGGCACCGTTCCATTGGTGGGGAGCTGGTTGGTTTTATCTATCTATCTATTTATCTATACCTGGCAATCATCAGAGTAACAGCGACTGCCATTGAAAAAAAAAAAAAGAGTAGCAACTACTGCTGCTACTGCAAAACGGAGTGATGTAGGGGCCAGTGCAGTGGGTGGGTGTTGACGCACTGTTGGTGGGGTGGGGAGCATGTAGCCTGCAAGACAGAAGGGGGCGAGGCCACGGCTGCGAACAGGTTTTGCAATCTGCCTTCTGCCACCGAATACAACGCATGGTCATTATAGATGTAGTTAGACTGAAAGATGCCCCAAATACAGCTATAATGACCGTTCGTCGTATTAGGGGGAAGAAGGTAATCGTTCTGATTGACATTGTTAGAGTTGTACAAGTCCAAAAGGGTCACAATGTGCGAATATGCCGAAAATGAAGCAATGGGCCAAATATAAAAAGCACAAAAATCGGGTTTTTGTTATTTTTGGTGGTGAAGATATTGTTAGCCCCTAGAAGAGTGTGGGGAGTAGTAATATTTATTCCCGGAGTCTTCTCGGAGTGCGACGCCAATAGTCGTAAGGTCAGAGGAGTGTGGGGAGTGTGGGGAGTGTGGGGAGTAGTAATATTTATTGGACTATTGAGGGCCAGGGGATCGGAAGTCTTCTCGGAGTGCGACGCCAATAGTCGTAAGGTCAGGATCTCTCGGTCAGAGTACGCGATGGCGCAGATGAACCAACCTCAGAAAGAGCCCCTCTCGGAGGAGGACAAATGACGAATGAATGACATACTCAATGAATGTTATCGAAATGGCATCCTACCGGAGGAATTTGCTCCGGAGGTAGTAGAATCCGGAGAGGGATACGTGAGAGTGTTGGTGAACAAAAATTTCTTTGAGGTTTAAGCGGAGTGGTTGAAAGACCATTCGGTAACAATCCACTTCGGTGATGATTCGACATCACTACCGGTCAAGGTTAAAAATAGGCTGGTAAGGATGTATGAAGAGGGGTGGGCAAAGTCAGGAACGGTCAACGCCCCTCCCAAGAGAGGGATCTTTCGGAACGAGGGAAAGAACTTTGTCACTTACGTGGCTAGTGCCAAGGAAATAGCTCATTGGATGTTAAGGAAGAAACAAGATGTCATTGAACAGGACAAGAAAAAATATACGATGACTTTTAAGCCTTGGATGAATAAGCAGGAAGTATATGAATGGAATGAATCACTTAAATTCCAATTTTTTTGGATCAGAGTGATTCAGGTTCCAGTTTCGGTCCTTCCCCACTTGAGAGGTGCTGTAGGGAAGGCGTTTGGAAAAGTTTTACGAGTTGCCCCTGCGTTCGCGGATCCCATTTCACCGGATCTATGGAACGTTAGGTTTGACTTGGCCCCCTCCGCGCGCATTGCATATAAAAGGACCCTGATAATTGACATGGGGGATTTTGGCTACGTGGAATTGGACGTCGCAAGTCCAAATTCCAAATGGTGCAAGAAATGTAAACATTTCTTTCATGAGGAGAATGACCCCAATTGTCCCTTAGCAGTTAAAAAGGGTCCGAACGAGGATTTGAACTTGAAGCGGAATTATAAAAAAGCGTTGTTGAAGGAGAACGAGAAGAAGGGACACTCGGAGGAGAAGGAAGACGATCAGGAGAAACAAGGGGAAAAGGAAGAGGAAGACTCTTCAAAGATGACTTTATCAGAGGAGGGAAAAGAGAAAAATCAGGGGGAGGTTGTAGCGAAAGGGAAAAAGGGGAAGGGGAAGGTGCGGAAAGGGCGTAAAGGAAAAGGTCCTGTCGCACAGAAATGGACGGTGAAGGGGAAAGGGAAGAAAGGGACGGATAAGGTCAAAGAGAGGGAGGAGAGGGAGAGGCCCCCTGAGAAGGATATTCAAAGCGACAAGGTCGAAGTAGTCCAGTTGGAGGAAGGAAGGAACTGGACAAAAGGAGGAAGTTCAAAAAGGTCCAATGATCCCCACACTGAGTAAAGAAGCAGTGGAGATCTTCGAGGAGTGTACAAAGAAGATTGTGGAAGCCAGGTTGGGCTTTCCGGAAATTCCAGTTGTTCTAGACACAGCAGGACGAAAAGAGGATTCTCCAATAAGGAAAACATTACCGTTGGACGTGACCGTCCCAACAGTAGATATGGACTCGGAGGAGATGGAAGTGGTGGAAGCTGCGGAAACACTGTTTAAGGCAAGAACAGCAAGGGAAAAACAGACATCGAGGAAAGGGAAGAATTTAGTGCAGGAAACAGGGAAGAGGAGGGAGAGAAGGGCTGTGTGAATTCACAGCAAGGTCCGAAGGTCTTGACCCACGTGGCGGAGGACGAATCATTGAGTTTGCCATTCATTAAAGTCCGTTCTCAGCCGTCAGACACCTTGGTCATGGACCTAACAC